CTAGGTTTGGGAGAAAACATGGGAAAATCTCAAGCAGTTGGAGGGTTTCAACCATGCACCTTCATGATGTTTTATGTTTTACATGATTTAATTGTAAYTTTATACTTTCCCGCCCATGGGGCGGGTACTGCCCTAGTAGATATGTATCTGTGTATGCCAAAATATGAATGGAGAAGATAAAGCCAAACAGTAAGAAGATTCAAAATTAATGGAAAAGGATCAAAGTATGTGGAAGCCTTTGAAAAGAGAGAGAAGGATCATGTGAATCTAATACTCTTTCATGTAAAATCCCTTTCAATCTTTACTCTCTACTCTCCTATATATATCTTAACTTCATTTTCCACTCTACGTTTTATACTTCATCTCTTCACCACATTTTCTTCCATTCAAAAGAGTCTCTATATGAGAACCTAGAATATACAATTCAATTTTTCCGAATGATGAAATCGGTATCTTTATTCGCGATTCTTCTCCTCCATCTCTTTGTTACTAGTAATAGTCTTCGATTGGATCTCTTCAACTGTGAGTACTACTATTTGCCATTGATATGATTCATAAGTAGAGATGATGAATGCATTCTATATGATCTCGATAAATATTTGATTCCTTCTTTTATTGCGAGGTTCTAGATGAAGCAAGCGGGTCAACCATACCGGATTGTTCGCACGCGTGTGTACCATGCAAGCTCGTTGTGATAACCTCCAAATGCTCCGGCTCCGAGGCTTGCCCTGTCGTCTACAAGTGCTTGTGCAAAGGCAAACATTATCACGTGCCTTCCATCGCCTAACCCCTCTTCACGTCACGTGACCATTTTTTTTACATTTTAAGACAGAACTCATACACTCAAGAGATGTATGTCTATTGTTGCTTTCCCAAGTAATTTTCTCAAGTGGTTGATTTGTGATGCTTGTAATAAAACAAAATCCGTTAACTTAACTTTTTGAACAACATATATACGAGTTTGAATCCATAGTGATATAGTAACAACATTAACACAAACCACTAGGTTATGTATCTTGGTCGCATTTGGTAATTTAACATAGAAACGAAAACTGAATAAACTCGGAAAAAAGAAGAAGCAAAATTTGACAAGTAATGAATGTAAGATGGTTTGAACAGAATTCAGAAGATAAGGCTGCTAAGATCTCCTGAGGTTGAACATTAATGGGAAAAGAGCGGCGATGAACAAACTAATACTACTCCTAAGAGAAGGGGTCAGATTTGAATTAAAGCTCTGTRTCAAWTTCGTTGAAGMTCCAGTCTCTGACAAYGTCTCTTCTRACTGCACGGCTTCGCACTAACCGTGGCGAGGCTCCTTCTGTTATTAGATTACCTGCCTGGAAATTGGGTTGTGGATTCTATTATGGATTCAGATCTTCCTAACGCA